GTTGTGTAGATTGAAATTTTATCAAAAAATAAAATTTGGTTCAAAATTCAATGAAACATAATAAAATATTGAGTGAGTGACATAATGTCACGACCCAAACCCGCCACTATAGGTTTAGCGTCGTAACCGGCCAGTAATCCTCGGATTACCGAAGGCCTCTGAATAGATAAGCATATGATAAGAGGCTAGCGGAAGCAATAAACAAAAATTATAAATGTCCAATAAGCTGTGTTGACTTACATGAAACAGAATACTTTAAAACTTTATGTACATAACCATAAGTCAACCATACATTATATTATACCCACACACATTACAGATTCTTAAGTACACCCAACAAAATTAAAATAAAGTCTCATGCATATACAGAACTAATCAAAACTTGAGCCCAAGACACTTCGGGAATCTCCTCGTGAGGCACAGTGGTTGGCTGACAACAGAACAGAACTCCAGGCAAAAGACTTGGGGCTTGCACTCCAGAATGCTCACCTATATACATATATATACAAACAGTGAGCTAAAGCCCAGTGAATAACATTAAGGTAAAGGGGTTAGTGAACGAATTCCGAACATTTCATACGTATAAAACAGATCATAGCATAATCATAGTCATCTCATATCAGAACATAATAATGGCATATCCCATAGAACATATCGAACATATCACATAACGTCTTCCGACTAGAGTAACCGGTTCCGGATACCGATTAAACACATATCACCACAATGAAGTGGCAACGAGATCTCGTAACTGTCATGGACCCGCATTTTCATGCCGTCCCCCATGACTTCAGACTATCTATGGATGCCATAATAGATTTCAAACTTGGAATGTTCGTTCACAGAAACATATATCATTTCAGAAAGCATAGCTTACCACATTTCATTTGGAACATAATTTCATATAAACGTATCTTTACGATAACGTTACTCACAGTGGTTCCAGTAGTCAGTCAGTCAATCTCCAGACGTTGACCTACAATCACAAAGGCACATAACACAACGTATCTTATCATTACACATTCAAGTGGCCAACACGGCTTAGCTTACATCACGTTGGGTCATGTTCATTCTTATCACGTGGCTTAGAACACACACACACCCTTGTATTCTCTTTAACTTAACACATTCATTTCTTAGTGTGTTTCTAACCCATAACCTCATTACTAAGGCTTATTTAAGGCTTATGAATGCCTAAGATGCAATGAGGATGCCAAAACATGCCTTAGAACACTTAGACAAAATTTCTGAAAATTAGGTCCTCGCTCGAGTGTAGGTTTCCTCACTCGAGCGGACATGTAGAAATGGAACTACGCTCGAGCGTAGACTTACTCGCACGAGCGGACATGCAAAAATGAAAGGGGTCGCTCGAGCGTGACTTCCTTCGCTCAAGCGGCCTGCAAACTTGGAAAAAGTACTGGTTGGTCGAAAATCACGCTCGAGCTACAACTCTCACGCTCGAGCGTATAGACAACATGCAAAGGGTTCGCTCGAACGCCAAAGTGGTCGCTCGAGCGAAGAGTTCATGTTCTGAAAAAAAATACTGGGAGTTCGAAATCTCCGCTCGAGCGCAGGTTTCCTCACTCGAGTGGACTGTAAAAATCTGGGTTTCTAAAAACAGAGCTTGAGCTTCAAATGTTGTTTTCATGGCTATGTTCATGCAAGGCATGATCAAAACACTTGGAAAACGTTACTATAACACAAATACATGGTCCTTTTCAAACTTTTAGCTCAAAGCTCATGGATTTAACAAATTTGAACTTGTAGGCTCATGCATGGAAGACCTTCAAACCATTGTTTTGATTTCCTCAAAAACATGCAAATGGTGAGTAACACACTCATGAATTTTGAAACTATGAACATGATGAAAGCTCATGCATGCAAGGACCTCACAATTTCAAACTCAAAGTGATGGGACTAGAAGGTTATCACCAAAGATGCACATGCAAGGCACCTACAAACCCAAAGAGCCACTCCTCAAGTTAATTTCATGAAAATGGTTCAAAGATGAGTCAAAAACATGATGCATGGAAGTTAATTTGCAGAACATATGCTAAGGGTTCTTACCTAGAGCCTGATTCCAGATGTGTGGGAATGAATCCTCTCAGTTTCCTTGTCACACCCCAAAGCCGTCCCTAGAAGTTTGGGTATGACCACTACAGAAACGGACACTTAACCTGTTATATATAACATATGGGGCCTGAATGGAAGCATAAATTTTTATATAATAACATGCAAGAAAAGTGCTACATCCATTGAGCGACCACTATCATGCTAGGATCACAAACATACAGATAATAATAGTTACACACACATATACAACCCCGCCCGCGTTTGGGCGTATAACAAAAAAAACATTAGAATTTACAACATATTATGGACAATCAGAATGTAAGCCAAAACTTCACAAAACGAGTAGGTTTCACCCAAATGCTTGGATACACAGAGGCTAACAAAGGGAGACGAGCATTAAGAGTTGTGGCTGACCTCCAAACGCAGGACCTACGGAATCAGACAAAATACAGAGTAAGATAACCTTTGTGAATAATAGTACTTGAATAATTCAATGTTCAACTTGAATTATAATGCAAATCAGAGCGTATATAATATAAAAGACATGTAGTTAATCTGATTCTGTACTAATGTCAGAACGGCCTTGGATCCGACCTTTAAAACAAAGTGGCTTTATTTCCAAAGATTTCACAAATTGGCCCTTGGCCTAATAGGTTCACAAGTTCACAGATTGGACCTCGGTCTCATAAGTTCACAATATCACAGATTGGCCCTCGGCCTCATAGGTTCACAATGTCACAAATATTCATAATTTCACAAATTGGCCCTTAAACAGAATGGCATTAAGCCCAGAATGGCATATAACCCTTTTCATGTACGTATGAACTCAAGAGGTGGCTCGCACGGATTCTAGAGGTGACTCGCATAGCAGCACTTAGTTTCGTGCAGCACTTTGTTTCATACTAACAGATCAGACAGAATGGCCAGAGGCCTCATAACTTTCATAGAACGGCCACATAACTTTCACATCGGCTTTAAGCCCAGTTTACATATGTATGGACTCAAGAAGTGGCTCGTACGGATTCTAGAGGTGGCTCCCACCAAATTGTAGCACTTAGTTCTGTACAGCACTTTGCTCCATATCAGAAAGACATAATGTCCTCTGGCCTAATAGTTCATACAGAAGCACATAGTTCCTTCTAATTATTCACATGAGTTAACATAGTTATGTTACGTTCAACAGAGTGCTAATAGCAGCTATTAACAGATTGTACTTCATAATGCACTCACATCCCATTTGTTTGTCATGAATTCATGCCACTAGTTCAAAGATAACAGAATGTTTGTATTAACTAGTAACATGGTTGTCTCGTAAATAACAATGCATAACATTAATGAGGATCAAAGGGCGAATGTACCATTAACAGAGGCATTTATGTCATTCCATTACATTTAATAAGGATAAACCAATTTACATTCTAACGTGGTCACATCGTAACATTAAACCTTTGCATACATGTCATAGGATCTGAATGATGTAGGTTTCATAGGTGACATATTCATTATTGACAGAATAGAATGATTGCAAAGTCATACCGATATGTGCCAATCTTTCAACATTCACATTGATTTCCAATCGTCATAACTATTCGTGTAACACTTACGAGGAACAGAGCGTTAGTGACAATAATTATCAATGGTAGATCAAATGTACATTTCCCT